AGCCAAGTAAACTTCAAATATTTTCATTTATCTTTTAAAGTTTAGATAAGGAAGTTGGAAATAGAGAAAACAACTTACCAGGCACCCTGTACAAGTCTATTTTTATGACTTTTAGTTCAAATGCCTTGTCATAAACATTAAGGACTTCAGGTCCCTTATTGTGGATTATGTGTCATCTCTTCTTTGTCTAGATGTAGATAACAGCAAATTTAGTTTCTGAGACCAGTCATTTGGTAGGTGATTTGGATCTTTGGACCTCTGAAAATTGTTAATTCCTGCCAACCGGTCTCACTAACTACCAGCTTAAAAAGAGATGCATCTGACTCATCGACAGATTCAGATTCATTGTTATTCTGGTATAATACTTGACAATTATTCCAATACTAGAGGCCCAGTGAACAAAATTCATGCACGGGTGTGGTCCCTAGGCCTGGCTGGTGACCCAAGCGTGAGCATCTGGCATGGAAGGGCAGGTCCCAGCTGACCTCTGGGCCCTGGGCAGCACCTGGGCCACTGCTTGTACCCGCCTTCACCTGGCGCCACCCTCTCACCTGCTCCACTATCTCGCCTAAGTCCTTATCATCAGGGCCTATGGGGGCCAGCAGCACCTCCACTGCCATCCACTGCCAGCGCCATGTAACTGACCCCGCCATGTTCTGCGTCGCCCCCTGGTGGTTAGCCCACATCGTAGCAAGGGGCCGAACTCCCAGTTGAATGAATGTCTGAGGGGACAATTTGCATATTAGGCCTTTATTATATAGGATTATTTTCAGTAACTTGGTTAAGTCTTTCCACCATTTCCCTCTCTACATTTTTCTGTGTAACCAAAAACATCAGTTGAATAAGCAAAGTAAGCTAGAGAAAAGAAAATGTTATTAAGAAAATCATAAGGGCCGAAACTGGTTTTGCTCAGTGGGTAGTGTCGGTCTGCTGACCAGGGGGTCCCAGGTTCAATTCTGGTCATGGGCATGTACATTGGTTTTGGGTGCATCCCCGGTGGGGGGTGTGCAGGAGACAGCTGGTTGACAGCTTCTCTCTCATCGATGTTTCTAGCTCTCTATCTCTCTTCTTTCCTCTCTGTAAAAATATCAATAAAAAATATTTTTTTAAAAAAGAAAATCATAAGGAAAAGAAAATACATTTACAATATTTATTGAAAAAAATCTGCATATAAGTGAACCTGCTCAGTACAAATCCATGTTGTTCAATGGTCCGGCGTATATGCATAAAGATTTTTTTTTAGCTATTTGTTACTGCTTCTTTGGTAAACTGGAGCTGCTTGCCAAAATAGGATAAGAAGAATAACGTTTGGGTCCATGGGCACAGGAGCATCACAGAAATGCCTATAAATAGACAGCGGGAGCCTTCATGCTGACTCTATCAAATTGCTGATTTATAACTGAACTGGTTAAAGACTAGTGAGCCAGAGAGATTCAAAATTCAGAGAGAGAAGGTGATTAGTAGTGCAGAACTCTAGAGTATGGGGGTGGTATGTGTGTGTGTATGTGATCCACAGCATACATGGAAAAAATAGCCTTAATAGGTGGAAAGGAGGGGTGTTATTTTGGAGGCAGGAAGTTGGGGGAGTTCCTTTTAAAGCCCTCTGTTTTTCTTAAAGGAGGAGGTGAGGTCATTCTTAGAGGGTGAGATGGGAAGGTCAGAGATTTGTGGAGGTTTAAAAGGGCTGTTGTGGGCAATGGGAAACACTCCTTGTAGCCTAGCAGGCCTGAGGGCCCTTTTGCAGGTGAACCACAGAAAGGTAAGGGAATGTGGGGTCAAAATAAAGAACCAAGAGCTACAGGCTAGAGAAACTCACCCAAACACCGAGAGAGAAGAGGTCAGAGAACCTGTGTCTGAGGAGCGAAGGAGGAAAGGACTGGGGGAGGGTGGGGAAAGCTTGGTCAGACAGAGTAAGTGGGTTGTCATTTTAAGTGTAAGAAAGAATATGGTTTGAAACAAAATGAAATGTATTGCAATTTTGTAATCTTGCATTTGAACGTTGGTTTTATTTATAGCTTGTGTTTTTTCAAACTTTTTAAGTGAAATTTTAAATGGACTTACCTAGTTGAATCCTGAGTGGGTCATCTAGTGCCCTATGGACTCTCTGCCAGCTTTACATCCCCCACAGCAACCTCTGAGGCACTTTAACCCCAGGACTCCACAGAACACAATTTAAATATCCACTGAAGTTTTGAGACTGAAAACAATTTTATGTCAAGTGTACACAATTCTAGCCTTGTTTGATAAGATGTGGGGTCACATACTTACTGTCAAAGTCATGACATCATCTCAAGAGCACATTCCTATATTTCCCATAGTGGATATGTATTACATTTATAATGTGTTCTAACTGGAGTCAGAAATGCATTTGGCCCTGGATTCAGTTCAATACTCTATCCAAAGGAGCTAACACTTGAGAAATCCCAAGGATGGGTCTCCCAGCTGTGGGAAAGAAGCAGGTAGAGCTAATTTTCTGTACTTTTTGGGCCAACGTAGTTTTCAGTCTGTCCTCTTTGCTTTTTTAACATTTGTTAGAAAATAACACTAGACCTCTACCGCCTATATTCCAAAATATATTCCCTATAGAGGAAAGCTTTAGATATAAAATTTTACAATATGTAATTAGAGGAAAATATAAGAAAAAATCATATAAACTTGTATAAGAAAGGCAGCTTATAAACTTACTAAAGGCCCGGTGCATGAAATTTGTGTACTGGCGGGGGGTTAGGGGTGCCTCAGCCTGGTCTACACCCCCTCACAGTCTGGGATCTCTCAGGGGATGTGGCAGTGCACCAAACAGCAGGTGGCCAGGGAGGAGCTCGAATTGGGGCCAGGTGCCATGCCACTCACACTCATCCTGGCCCGCTGAGGCTGCTGCCACAGCATGGCAGTGCTTCCACAGAGTCGGGAGAGGCTCCCACAGAGGCAACTGCGCTCGCCAGCCATGAGCTCGGCTTCTGGCTGAGTGGCACTCCCCCTGTGGGAGCACACTGACCATCAGAGGGAAGCTCCTGCATTGAGCATCTGCCCCCTGGTGGTCAGTGCACATCATAGCAACCGTTTGTCCCGGTCATTCCACTTAGGCTTTTATTATATAGATATCAGAAAGGCAAAGGCAACTCAGGAAAGTCAGAAGTCCAAATTAAAAAGGACAGACCTGCCGAAACCGCTTTGGCTCAGTGGATAGAGCGTCGGCTTGGGGACTGAAGGGTCCCGGGTTTGATTCCGGTCAAGGGCATGTACCTTGGCTGCGGGCATATCCCCAGTAGGGGGTGTGCAAGAGGTAGCTGATCTAAGACTCTCTCTCATTGATGTTTCTAGTTCTCTCTCTCCCTTCCTCTCTGTACAAAATCAATAAAATATATATTTAAAAAATAATAATAAAATAAATAAATAAATAAATAAATAAATAAATAAGACAGACCTATCTGACTACACAAAAGGACAAACAATAACAAGGGAAAAGATGCAAAAGACAACCAAATCAGGACTGCTAAAAATATCTGCAACACCTATGACAGGCAAAGAGTTAATAACATTACAAACAGATAAGAAAAAGGCAAGCCAACCAAGAGCAGGGCAGACAAAGAACAGGAAGGAATCCACAGCAAGGAATCCAAGTAGCCAACATATTTATGAAAATATTGGCCAGGAAAATAAAAATGAAAGTAACTATCAAACAGCATCCTGTGCTAGGAAGAAACTATAGATATGGACACTCTCAAATTTACCATGGTGTGTGTGTGTGTGTGTGTGTTACTATAGCCTTTTTTTTAACAATAATTCAACAACATCTATAGAACTTTAAATACTAATAAGATGAAAATGCAAGTAAACATACATGTTATCTTCTCATTTTATTTTATTTTTAATATACATATATTATTGATTTTTTACAGAGAGGAAGGGAGAGAGAGAGATAGCTAGAAATGTCGATGAGAGAGAAACATCGACCAGCTGCCTCTTGCACACCCCCTACTGGGGATGTGCCCGCAACCAAGGTACATGCCCTTGACCAGAATCGAACCTGGGACCTTTCAGTCCGCAGACCGATGCTCTACCACTGAGCCAAACCGGTTTCTGCTATCTTCTCATTTTATGTTTAAAATTGTTCAAATCTATAGAAAAGTTGCAAAAAATAATACAATGAGTAACCAGTCACCTACAGTCACCAATTGTTGACATATACTATATTTACTTTCTCTTTTTTTATCCCTCTCTATATTTAATATGTAAATACTTTTCATTTTCAAGAATAAAAAAATGTTTCAATAAAAGTATTTTAAACTTGAGATTTAGGTGTGTCAGTGTCAAATAAAAAATTAAATGGAGCCCTAACTGGTTTGGCTCAGTGGATAGAGCATCAATCTGCAGACAGAAGAGTCCCAGGTTCAATTCTAGTCAAGGGCATGTATCTTGGTTGAGGGCACATCCCCAGTAGGAGGTGTGCAGAAGGCAGTTGATTGATGTTTCTCTCTCATCGATGTTTCTGACTATCCCTCTCCTTTCCTCTCTGTTAAAAAATCAATAAAATATAAGAAAAAAAATTAAATGGAGGGCAAGCAGCCAGGGTACCCTCCCCGCAGCAGGAAGGTTTTCTGTAATAAAACTGCTTTTGCTAAAACATAAATAAATAAATAAATAAAAATAATGGAATCAAGCTCTATGTGCTGCATAAAATAAACCCATTAAGACACGTGGTTCTATTTTGGAAATGCCAACAAAACCCTATTAGCACAGGGAGTTTGCCTTATGCATAACTATATCTCCAGTGCCTAGCACACTGCCTGGTATATGGACAACTCTTAGTAAATATTTCCTGAATGAGTGCATAAATATGAAATTATTTGCATTTTTTTTGGTCTGTTTTCCATTCAGTTGAATATCTAACCCAGGTGTCTCTATCTTAGCTGAATAGAATTTCATTTATAAATATGTTCTGAAGTAAAAACTATGGATTCCTGCATAGTAATTTATGCTTATCAAAAATAATAATTGTTGTGCTCACTTTGGCAGCACATATACTAAAATTGGAATGATACAGAGATTAGCTTGGCCCTAGTGCAAGGATGACACACAATTCATGAAGCATTCTATATTTTTAAAAAATTGTTCTAGGTTTGCCGAAACTGGTTTGGCTCAGGGGAGACTCAAGGGCATGTACCTTGGTTGCGGGCACATCCCCAGTGCGGGGTGTGCAGGAGGCAGCTGGTCGATGTTTCTCTCTCATCGATGTTGCTAATTCTCTATCCCTCTCTCTTCCTCTCTATAAAAAAAAAATCAATAAGATATATTAAAAAAAAAAAAAAAGTTCTAGGTTCTAAACAAGCCTGATCAATCAGGAAAGGCTACTTAAGGGAAGTAATATTTACATTGCTCTTTAAGGATGAGTGGGAATTAGGCAGATAAATGGCATTCTAGTCAGAGGAAGCAGTATTAATTCATTTATATGTTTATTCCAACATTTACAGTGCTTACTTGAGCCAATCCATAGGTTCTGGAGATGTAGCAATGAATAAGACAGAAAAGTCTATGCCATCTTGTGGGAAGAGATAAATACACAAACAAAAAAAATGTATAAATGACAAGAAGGATAAAGATGAGAGAGGGCCTGGGGTGGTATGTGTATCTTAGATAAGATGGTTAAGGGAAGGACTAACAAAGGAGATAACATTTGAGCAAAGGCCTGTGTGAAGTAAAGGAGAGAATGTGAAAGAAGAGCAATAAGTGCAAAGGGCCCGGCCCTTGGCTCAGTGGTTGAGTGAGATCACAGTTTGGTTCCTGGTGAGGGCACATGCCCTAGTTGTGGAATCAGTCTCTACTGGGGGGCGTGCAAGGAGTCAGCCAGTTAATGATTCTCTCTCATCATTGATGTTTCTATCTCTCGCTTCCTCTCCCTTCCTCTCTGAAATCAATATATATATTTTAGGTCTAGTAATAATTAATGTCGTTTTCTACTACTTTTTAAAATCGAATTTATTTAAACAATACAACAAAATTTAATCAACAATATAGTTGCCGTTGTTTTCTACTACTTGTGCCCAACGCTCAGGAAGCATTTTAATCCCTCTGTTGTAAAATTCTTGTGATTTTGATGCAAAAAATTCGGTCAATGCATTTTTGAGGCATTCTTCATTATTAAATTTTTTTCCAAGAAGAAAGTTTTGCAAAGAACAAAACAAATGGTAATCGGAAGGGGCAATATCAGGAGAATATGCAGGTTGAGGGAGAACTTCCCATTCCAACTGGCGCAGTTTTTCAGCAGTGATTCTTGCAGTATGCGGTCGTGCGTTATCGTGGTGAAGAATTACGCCCTTCCGGTCAATCAGCGCGGGTTCTTTTTCTCTTAAAGCTTGGGCTAACCTTTCCAATTGGGCACTATACACTGCACTTGTAATGGTTTGGTTAGATGGTAAAAGTTCATAATGAAGAATTCTTTTAAAATTCCACCAAACACACAACATCACTTTTTTCGCATGCAAGTCAGGTTTTGGCGTGGGCTGCGGAGCCTCATTTTTGTCCAACCATTGAGGCCGCCTTTTCAAATTAACATACAGCACCCATTGTTCATCTCCGGTAACAATTTGCTCTAAAAACGGCAAACGGTTTTGACGAGAGAGGAGCGAACTGCAAATTGTGACTCTTTGATTATGGTTGTTGTCGGTCAACTCATGAGGAACCCATTTTCCAAACTTTTGGACTTTGCCAAGTGCACGCAATTGATTGGAAATTGTTTTTTGTGAACAATTTAAAGTTGTCGCAAGCTCTTGTTGGGTAATTTGAGGATTTTGCACCAAAAGAGCTTGAAGAGCTTCTTGATCAAAATTGGACACACGGCCTCGACCACTCTTGTCATCTAACGAAAAATTTCCCTCGTGAAATTTCTCAAACCAACGCTGGCATTTTCTGGCGCTAACTGCATCTTGACCAAGAGCACTACAGATGTTTTTTGCAGCCTCACTTGCTTTTCTTCCTAATTGGAACTCGTAAAGCATGCAGTGCCGAATATGCTCTTCATCCACCATCTTCTTAGCCCCAGTTTTGCAACAAAAACCAAACCAAACACAAACTTTTTCAAGCAAAACTTGTTAATTGCACTTCACACGTTCTGTAGATACCACGTGTTTGAAGGTTATGTCAATACAAGTCAACGCCAAGCAAGATTTTAAACGAATGTTGGAAAACGACATTAATTATTACTAGATCCGAGAGAGAGAGAGAGAGAGAGAGAGAGAGAGAGAGAGAGAGAGAGATATCGTATATTATATATACATATATTGTATATTATATATATTATATACAATATATTATATACAATATATTATATATAGTATATTATATATATTATATACAATATATTATATACAATAAATATACATATATACATATACATCCCTCCAACTACCCTCCCCTGAGGTGACCAGTGAAGCTAGAATTGAGTGAGTGGGAGAGCAATGCAGCAGGAGATAAAATCAGAGCAATGCAGTGGGAGATCACATAGAGCCTAGCCTCACAACCGGTGACTTTTCTGAGGTTTCCAAGGAAATGAGGGTAGAGTTAGAAGTCTTAGAAGTGAGCAATACTTAGAGGTCTTTAAAAAGATAAAGATACAGAAAAGAAAAGTAAAATAGGAGCAAAACCAGGCAGAAGTCTAGTGAGTACATGTTTTAAATAAAGAAGCTATTTACTGTGCCAAAATATATAATATTACTCAGGGAACAGATTCTGGGTAGAGTGATGGCAGGAGAAAGTGGACACAAGCAAGTTTTTCAGTCAGATAACTTAACAATAATATTGGCATGAGGTCTTAAACATAAAGCGAGGCAAATGTAGAGCACTTTATCATCTTAAAGTTACTCTCACACACACCGGCTCAGTTATCCCTCAAAGCCAGCAATTTTTAACCAGTGTGCCGCAGCAGGCACACTGATAGCCAAAAGAATATTTATTTATTTATTTATCATTGAACTAGATGCCCGGTGCACAAAATTCGTGCATGGTGGGGGGGGTGTCCCTCAGCCCAGCCTACACCCTCTTCAAACTGGGACCCCTCAAGGGATGTCCCAGTAGGATCAGGCCTAAACTAGCAGTCGGATAGTGAGATCACTCATAATCCAGGACTGCTGGCTCCCAACCAATCGCCTGCCTACCTGCCTGATTACCCCCTATCCACTTCCCTGCCAGCCTGATTGACACCTAACTGTTCCCCTGCCAGCCCGATTGTCCCTAACTGTCCTCCCCTTCCAGCCTGGTCACCCCCAACTGCCCTCCCCTGTAGGCCTGGTCTCCTCCCCCCCCCCCCCCCCCCCACTGCTCTTTCCTGCCAGCCTGGTCACCCGCAACTGCCCTCTCCTGCAGGCCTGGGTCCCCCCATCTACCCTCCCCTGCCAGTCCAGTCACCCCTAACTTCCTTCCCTGTCGGCTTGGTTTCCTCCAACTGCCCTCCTCTGCAGGCCTGATCACCCCCAACTGCCCTCTCTTGCAGGCATGGACCCTCCCAAATATCCTCCCCTGCTGACCTGATTGCCCACAACTGCCCACCCCTGTTGGCCATCTTGTGGTGGCCATCTTGTGTCCACATGGGGGCAGCCATCTTTGACCACATGGGGGTGGCCATCTTACTGGAGTGATGGTCAATTTGCATATTACTCTTTTATTAGATAGGACTTGGATGACATTGTTTAATAAAATAAGTGTCAGAGGTAAATTTTTACCACAGGAATTGTTTTTCTCTCCCAAGAATTTTAAAAATATGCAATACCTGACTATTTGGTTAGGGGCACTGACCTCTTTTCCCTTAGATTGTCAAATTGAAAAATGACCATGAAAAACAAGCAAACAAGTAAACAAATAAAATTGACAACAGCCAACACAGTAATAAACATCTGGTGTGAATAAATAAAAAATTATACTTTTTTTGTCAGAATGGAAAAAAAAATCCAAAAACATAATATATTCCTTGGTCTGCTGTAGAAATTTAGTAATTACTTTATATGTGCCATGAGATGAAAAAGGTTGAAAGTTCCTGTTCTAACCTGTCTGATGCAGAACAGCCTTAATTTTCTCTGTCTGGAGGTATTCAATTAACTTGATTCGTTTGAATCCATTTTTAAGTTATCTAGCTATATAACCATGTTCAAATAATGATCTTTGCCTTTTAGAATATTTTCATATCATAGAATATATATTTTGTTGCCCTGGCTAGAACTTCTAGCACACTATTATAGGAAAGTGGCTGGAATTTACATCGTAAGCCAAAGTTAATCTTCCTTGTATGAAAAAGCTCCTACCACACACAGAGAAAAAGACCAACAAGAGAAAAATGAACAAAGAATATGAATACAGTTCAGAGAGAAGAAAATACAAACTGTTCAACATTAAAAAAAAAAAAGTCTTCAACCTTACTTATAGTGAGAAAACTGCTTAGATGGTCAAATCACGAGAAGTTTGTTAACGCTGTGTTTTGAGGCTGTGGGAAAACAGGTCCTCTCATTTACTGCTGACGGGAATGTAAATTGATTTAATCCCTATAGAGGGCAATCTGGCAGTATCTATCAAAGCAACAAATGCATACGCCCTTTGACCCAGCAATTTTAATCTTAGGAATTTACCCTTGGGACATACTTTCACATGTGTTAATTGACCTATGTACAAGATTATTCATTGCAGCATTGTTTGTAATAGAAAATAAAAAGGAAATGATCCAAATGTCTATCAATAAGGAACTGGTTAAATAAATTGTAATATATCCTTGAAATGGAATACTATGCTGCCAAGAAAGAATGGTGAGCCTATGATACAGAAATATCTTTAGGACATATGTACTAACTAGAAGGAAAAAAAAAAGGTGCAAAACAATGTGTATGGTATGGGTATGCTACCTTTTGTCAGGGGGAAAGGGGAAAAATAAGAGTATATATATATATATATATATATATATATATATATATATATATATTAGGAGAGCATATATTTTTATTTGTATATTCATAAAGAAATTCTGAAATAATACAAAAGTACTTATAATGGATTACCTTTGATAATCTGGGTGTGAGCCATTGGGAGACAGAAATGAGAAAATTTAACTGAACCTGCTTATTTAA